CTAAATCTATTAACTAATTCTTAGTCTAGAGTAGAGGACTTATCTAAAGTAATAAGTTACTAGTCATTTACGTCCCTACGGATGTTAGTACTAGATACCCCCGTGGCTTAATAAGTGGTAGCAATTATGCTCTGCTCGTAGGTTCAATCCCCGCCCTGGCTCCGGTGCATAAGTAAGCCGGCCAGGCCACTGGTGTGGGACTAGACGTGCCCTTCCGGAAGGCTACGATCTCGCTGCGCTAGTGCAAGGCTAGAGAAACCGACTTACTAGATTCTAGGGAGGTAACTACACCTAGGGACAGGTGTCTTCTCGCTGCAGAGGGGGGCACTTGTTACACCTAGGTTATAGCACTATCTAAGCCGCGGCTGTCATAGGTCGTAGTTAGCCTTTTAGTCTAGTGGATAGTACTAGACGTGCTATAGAGAGACGTAACATTTAAGGTCTTTTTTAAGAGTTTAAAGGGTAAGAGTAATTCTTAACTCCTTTAAAGTATTTTCTATTTAAAGGTTATTAAATAATTATAATACTCAAGTAAGTTATAATAAAAGTTAGGTAAAATATATAATTTACTTATTTATATATCTTATTTATTAACTAACTATATTATAAAATATAATATATTAATAGATATATATATCTACATATAATTAAGGAGAGGGGACTAATAAAAATAAAAACTAAAGAAGAAAGAAGAAAGGTTTATATAAGGTATAATAAGTAATAGAAGTTATATATAAAGTAAGGGGAGCTACTTTAGTTATTATATTTTTTCTTTATTAAAAAAATAATAATTAAAAAAATATACCTATCTATATACGCTTATATATCTAATTATATATAAGGGGTGAATTAAGTTTTAGCCGTAACTCACCTATAGGCTGTCATAGTATGCGTTCCACCCCAGTGCTTATACCTTGGGTGCCATTGGATGGACGTGCTATTTACAGCTTTCCTGGTCCCCTGTCCCTGTTTTGCCTCGTGCCCAATTATTCCCCTCGCAGCTGTCAGTTGCTGTCATACGTGCATACCCACGGGCCACGACCCCAACTTTTGCCCAAGTAAAAAAAGTCCGATTATCGCAGTTTCCCCGCTGTTGATTGCTTTTTGTTTTGTAATGTTGCTAAATTAAATATATACTCGGGCCAATGATTCACTTGGTACTACCTCCACACGCGAGCTCCCCGTCATTTTCGAGCACCAACGCCGTAAGGAAGGTGGTTGGGTGGCCACTATTATCGAGCAACTAGGCTGCCCTTTTGCAGTTGCATTCGCTTTGTGTGAGTGGGCGCGCACGACAAAGGATACAAAAGTTCCCGTGTAATGGGAAACCTCTTTTCGCGCCTTCACCTCATATGCGAGCCAGTTGCTGATCAGAGACTGGGGTTTCTCCTTTACCTTCTTCTTCCGGCCAAGTCGTTAAAAACATCGGTTAATTTTAACAAGGCATCACCAGTCAGGTCGCCACTGTATACGTATACGTATGGTGAGCATCTGCACAAACAGGGGTCGGCGGCTAATTTGTGCATCATTGTCTTACCTGCTCACTTATGTGTGGCCCTTGTCTCTTCAATGATTCTCTTGGCGACCCGCCCACGTACATGGTAATTAAGTGGCGATACGCCTTCATTCATTCAATTATCGCGAGCTTGAAATACGCCGTGCGATTCTTTCCTTCATCACAATTCACACGCGGCCGAAAACAAGACAACTGTGATTAAGACTCGAGCCTGGAGCCGGGAACACGCGACACCCAAATTATTCTATTTTACCGCCCTTTTTTCCCTCCTACAAGCCTCATACGATAACATACCACGTCTGCAATGGTTCTCTACGCAGCATTGGCCATTACTGGTTTCGCTGCATTAACAACAGCCACCGCCGCCGCCGCCGCCCAAACAAACGCTGTCGGCGCCGGCTCCTTCTTCCACATTCCCGGCCACAGCAGCAGCAGCAGCAGCAGCAGCAGCAGCAGCAGCAGCAGCATCAGCAGCCGGACCCTCCTCACCTCGCGACAAAAGACCGGCCCCCAGTGCCTCAAGGGCCTGGTCGGCTGCGACACCGAGTGCATCGACGCCAGCTTCGAGTGCTGCCACGTCGGCCAAGGCCAGGCCTGCGAGGAGGGCTACACCTGCTACAGCCAGGGCTGCTGCCGCAAGGGGCAGACGTGCTCCGGCCCGCCCAAGGGCTGCACCGCCACGACCAAGATGTGCGACGTGGGCTGCATCCCCCGCGACCGCGTCTGCTGCGGCCTCGGCGACGGCTCGTCGTGCGACGCCGATACCGTCTGCCTCGATTCCGGCCTCTGCGGCCGCCAAAAGAGCGATATTGGCCCCGGCAACAGCAGCAGCAGCAGCGGTGTCGGCAGCGCCTCTTCTCGGCCGAGCCAGACAGCGACATTGTCGACGGGCGGAAGCGGACTGAGCTCGACGGGTACGTCGCTCAGGACGCGGTCGAACAGCGCGATTGGCGCCAGCATCACGTCGTCTGTGAGTGAGGTCAGCAGCGGCGGCTACAGTCTGTTGCCAGTCACGTCGACATTGGGACGTGGAGGTGACGTCTCGTCGGACGTGGCTTCAACGAGCCAGCCGAAACCAACAACCACCGACAAGGCCGCCGCTGGCGCGACGCTGGAAGCACCAGGCTTCATGGCAGGGCTACTCGCGTCAGCATTATACATAGCTATTGTACAAATATATTTCTATTGATCCGGAACACACTCCTATACCTATATTCTTCTAGTGGGCAAATCTCTATGAGGTTTCACCGGCCGTTCGCACCGTCAATACAGCGTTGAGCGGGACTCCATGAACTTGAGGGATTCGTTGTTCAGTTTCCTTGGGTCATTTTTTTTTTTTCAAATTTTTTTTTTTTTTTCATTTTTGGTCGCTAGCAGATTATTCGGGTGCTTGACGTTGTCGTAGATGGAGTGCCAGACGTCAACAAACACCCCCACTAGTTATTGTACGCAGCACCGCGACGCGAACGGTGGCGGCGGTCTTGCCGACAAAGGTTCCGGCTGTCGACCCTGACACTGTCACCAGCAATCTCTGACGATGACGGAGCTAGGGTGGAATTTCATCTAATCAGTCTTTTCCATCATTGAAAGGAGCTTCAAAAGGGTGCTTTGGCGTTTATTAAGCACTACCGAATGAGACTATCCGCAATGAAGGGGTTTGACCTCGAAAAGTTGCTGGCTGCAGTACTTGATCCGTCTGTAAACTCCCCGTCACATTCGCAATCACTCATGTAGATACTTGATTTCTTTTCCGGCATTCGGCCCAGTTACGAGACCTAGCTGCTGCAGCGCAGTCAAAGCACCCTCCTCTCCCGTCTCGTCCACAATCTTGCCGTCTTTCAGAGTAAAGATGGTAGTACCCGAGAAATGGATTTCCTTTCCTGTGTTTGGACGGTCCAGGGAGACAGCCAAGTCGCTAAATGCAACGCCAGTGTGCTTGCCACCACCAATCCATCGTCCCACGACGTAGGGGCCGCTGGCAATGAGAGGGTGCTGATACGCATGAAACGATATATCTGGAAACGCCTATTGCAATTTAAAGGATCAGCGCACAAATATCTCAATAACAAAAAAAAAAAAAAAAAAAAAAAAAGTGTCGTATTAGAAATGGCATACCTCTTTGAATTCTCGAATCATCTTTTTCGCATCTTCCCTGCCGTAGCGGGGGCCATGCATGGGATAGTTGATGACGAAGCCATCTGCGCATAGCGTATCGACAATATCACCGTTGCCCTTGCCCCAATACTCTGCAAAGTATTCGGTGACTACGGCAAGATTCTGCTGTTCTTCTGGAGTAGGCATTTTTGCTCGTTTCGACTGGCGATGATAGACAACAACTTTGAGGGCCGAGAAGATGCGTACAATGCACATCATCTCGACTCCAATGGGCGCAACACGCACATATTTATAGGAGAATGAAAGGGAACTGAGTTCCTGTACTCTATACCGGTCGTCGGCTGTTGCTATTGAACTTTGTATCGGAATCGTACACCCAGCGGACTGCTTGCCACCAAAGTGGCCAATTAGCACGATGAAAGCCCACTTTCGCCCATGGTGATGGCATGACTATCGAATTTTTTTTTTTTTCAGATGTTTGCGCTCAAATTGACAAGTCTCTGACTTGCCCCAGCTCAATGACACTCCATGCGATGCAGGGTCTTTGGTCAATTCAAAAGCAACCATGGGCCCGTTGGCTGTAGAGACTAGATTGTGATTGGCCATTTCCATGGCAAGCTTGAGCAACATGTCCAACGACATTCTGAAAAAATGAAAAGAATCGACCACGGGCGAGTCATACACGGATATTTCTCCATGAGTTGGGAAGTATATATATTCCGCGCGTTGAGGCTCATGCACATTGTGGTAGCAGACAGGTGCGCAGCGAAAAAAAATTGTCGAAAATGTTTGTCTTCAAGGGCTCTCCCTCTGGAAGAGTCATCAAACAAGAGAGGCCCATCACAGACCACAGCCTAAAAGATGAACAAGTCCTGGTTAGAATTACTCATTCGGGTATATGCGGGACAGATGAGCATTACAAGACCGAGGACATGGTTCTAGGTCATGAAGGAGTAGGCGTGGTTGAAGCCATCGGCGAATCCGTCAAAAGATTATCCATGTAAGATACGAACCGCCCCCCCCCCCCCCCCCCCCGTTGTCTCGATACGTTCACACGATGAACTTACCAAACATCCTCAGTGGTGATCGGGTTGGATGGGGGTACTGTCATGGCAGCTGCATGGCTTGTCGGGAATGCCAAAAGGGACAAGAGTTGTACTGCAGCCGACGAGAGCTCTACGGCGCTACGAATTTAGATCAAGGCTCATTCGCATCCCACGCTATATGGAACGAAGCTTTTCTGTTTATCATTCCCGACTCACTTCCATCTGCCGAGGCGGCGCCATTAATGTGTGCTGGTGCGGCCGTTTACTCTGCTCTAAGTGGTGCCAAGATTCGATGGAGCGACCGTGTTGGCATTCTTGGAGTTGGTGGCCTCGGCCACCTGGCGATACAATTTGCTGCGAAAATGGGCTGTCAAGTTGTTGCTCTATCCAATACTCCAAACAAGGGAAAAGATGCTACCGCTTTTGGAGCAACCGAGTTTGTTTGTCTGTCCGACGCAGATGCCGCTTTGGCGGAGCCTGTAGACTGCCTTCTCTTGGCTGGGGCAAAGCAGCCGGATTGGAGCAACATAATTCCCTTGGTTCGCCGAGGCGGTCTTATTGTTGCCATGACGGTTGATCCGGAGGATCTGCGAGTGCCTTATATGGAGCTGGTCATGAACGCAATCTCCATACAGGGTAGTCTTCCAGCACCGCCGGCGCTTCACCGAGAAATGCTTGAGTTTGCATCGCTTCACAGCGTGCTTCCTATGATTGAGACTTTTCCTTTTACAAAAGATGGAATTGATGAAGCTATGGAGAAACTTCGTCAAGGAAGAATGAAATATCGCGCGGTTATTGTTTCTACTCTTTAGTCATTAGCCATGGTGGATTGCCCGTGTGTCCCCCACACTTACAACGATGCCTGAAAAACTACCGATTTTTCTTTTTAACTCACAAAAATTGCTGCTTTTTGCTTACTTTTTTCTCAATTTGTGAGACACTTTTCTCTTTTTAAAAGCTTGTGATCAGCAATCGGATACATTTCTGCAGACCGCCTGCTCTGCGAAGTCGATCTTCTAAACACTGCTGGTACCTCTGTCATGACCTGATTGACTAGTGGCACGCCGTGATTTCAAATCCACTCTGACGCTACTGGTCAATCCCCAGCAATGGCTGGAAGGAATCAATATTAATTACTACATAATTAATATCCGCAGTCGTGGCTTTTCAGTGAGTCCTTAGTGGGCCGCGGAGCTTTCACAGGGGGGTGTAGCATAGTTGCCAATCTTATACTGCAGTAAGCCGTGCAGAATACATCATCTCGAAACCCTCTGGTCTCCGGACAGCCTTCTTTTCTTCTTAATTCTTACAGGCGGCAGCAGCCATGTTTTTCCTTCGCGCAGCTTCCAATCGATATCCGGCGGAAAATATGGCTTACAACTCTCGGCCCCATGACCCTATCCATTACTCGGGCCGACCCGCCTCTAGCGGAAAGGCTGGAGCATTCGAAATCTAGCCTAAAGCAATGTTTATCGGGGGAGAGCAGATGCATGGGTCACGTTTCACTTCCAGACGGTAGTTACAAGCTCTTCTATGCTGTCAAACCGTCTGCCGCGTATCTCGCGTGCAAGGAGTCACGCGCCTTCCTTCACTACATCTTTGCTGAGCCTGCAAAGCCCGACGGGGGCTTGCCTAGTTGGTTCAACCTTGCTATTGACACTGTCCGTTTCAATCGTGAACATCTTGTCCCCCTTTCTCGCCATCCCTGGCTGAAGCAGGCACAGCATCTCTGGATCCGGTTCAATTTCGATGCTTGTGAATATTTGTCGTCTGGGTGCTGTAAAATGCGAGCATATGAGGACAAGGACCAAAGTTGGCTGGAGAGGAACCTTGTCTCGCTCAAGAGCATCACGTTTCAGATGGTCCACGCTAAAGGAGAGGGCGAGTGGGTAAAAGAGTGGTTTCCCTATTTTGAGACCTGGTTCAATCACCCCAGATGGGACCCAGTACCTTTTTCTGCTCGAGTCATCTGCTACCAGAGCAACATACCCGAAGAAGAATGGTTAACTCCTCAAAACTACCTCCTTGTGGAGAAGAGAGTTATGGGAAATCACTTTAAACGCGGCTACGGGGTCCCCAATTGGAGAGAAATGATTGGGTGTGAGAGAACCAGATGTCTTGTATACGCAACCGACGAGGAGCTCAAAAATCCCGGTGAATTTCTGAAGAAGCACCAGCACTTTGGGGTATGATCAAGATATTGCAGAGGCGCCTGCAACGTTGTACAGTCTTGCTTCCTATTGTACTCCAATGAACTTTTTGTGTTTCATTTAAAAAAAGTATAAAAAATGAAATCCATAGAAATTTGCTTGTTTTTAGCTGAGAGAATACCAGTGATTTACCCAGATCGAGACAAATGGAGCGCTTATTTGTCTTTATGCAGGAACACAAGTTGGAGGTACCATATTGGGTCAACTGACAAAGCGGATCGCCATCGCATTAGATATATATCGCTGGCCACTCAATGTGACGCAAGGTTGCATAGACAAATGAGATTCTCGAGAAAAAAACCCTCATGGGCTGTGTGACATATGGCGAGTCGGTTGTACGACGGGATAATAGTCGCCCAAGACAGCTCTGTTGCTTACGGTAGGCATAGACGCCGCCGGCAAAAGTCAAGTAAAATGGATCCCATTTTAGCACTGTACCAGTAAAGCCTCAGAGAGTACCATAGAGAATCATAGAGCCTTGCTCAGTAGACAGGGGAGCCTCGGTTGGTTGATGACCCTCTATCAGAGTGGCCATTGTGGCTGGTATTGATTCATTCAGATGCTCTGGTCTGCATGAGGTTTTTATTTGCTCCTAAAACCTCCCTCACTTTCGGTACCGACTCGGCTCCGCCAGTAAACCAGCCCTAGCTAGAACTTTTTCGACCACCGGTATCAGCTCCGTCTCATCAGGTGCCATCCAGACTTGACACTGCGCATCCTCATCATCGATCCATAAAGACGTCGACCCCGTCTCCTTCCTCAGCCGGTCTGTCAATCCCCTCCGTGAAGGGTCCCATTTCTCCCAGTAGTTTGGTACTGCAAGGACTGGCCACGTCCCTCTATCTTCTTCTTTAACCCGGGAAGCGGGTGTCTTCTGCGTTATCTGTTTCCATTTCTGTTTCCAAAACGTCAACATTCTGTTGGTCTGTTTCTCTTTCTCCTTCACCGGGTAAAGAAACGACGGCGACGCTTGCGGAGTCTGGAAAGTGCAGTGAACCCCTTCTGCTCTTCTCCAACCAACACACCTTATCGTTGTTTTTTGTGTGTGTTTTTTTTTCTTTTGAGCGAGAAAGAAGTTTATGGGTTCAAGTCTACTTAGCAGCTCCTCCCGTTGAGGACGTTCCTTTTATATTACACGCTGGGTCATGTGTGCACCCACATCACTCTTGATGTGATTCACTCCTTACCCGAACTCCGTTACACTCTTTGTTCTCATCCATCCAGTCATTTGCGTCGTTAGTACCCACCTGTCTGCCTTGGCGGCTGCCTTCGTGCCAAGGGTCAAGGATTGTAAGCTGATTAATCTATAATCTAAAAAAAGAAGTAGCCATCACCAGCATGTTGTTAGGTGTGGTGTGCCTGAGCGTTGGTCGTGCGGCCTGTGGCATTAGGCAAGCAGGCTCGAAAAAAATACGAGGGGGCTTAGTTACCTCTGCCATGTAAATCAGGTGGCGCAAGCACGCATACCGTTGGGGACCCGCTAATGTATTCATCCCTAATAAGGCACCGTCAAGGTGAAGGGAAACAACGGCGAAAAGACCACCGGCGCCTGCAGCTCATCGGCGCGCCGAGGTTGGCAGGAATACGCTATACTTTGATGTCGTCTACGCAGCGAAGGAGATGAGCACTAATGACATTAGGTATAAGAGCACGCTAGGCTAATGGAATTAAAGATAACGTACATCACTATAAAGATGATATCAATAAACTTGGCAGACAGCTTACGAGCCTCAAGAGAACGATAGATGCGGAGCAAATTAGAAAGGTGCAAGTACTGTTTGACCAACATTAACCGTAATCATGATTAACAGGAGATGTGAGATCTCCAAGTACAACATGTCCAAACTCGAGGCGAACAAAAATTTAGGCCGCCCGTCATTGAGACAGCCTTCGGCAACCGCCGACTCTTTAAGGAAGACGACACTATTCGCGGAACCAAGAGTGCTTGGAACGGCAAGCCAGACGCGAAAAACAAAACCACAAGAGCCTTGGTAGAGTTGATTGATATAATTGAAGACCATGAAAAAGGCTCGTGTGCAGTAAAGCACAAGCGAATAGTAAATAGAACTCTGGGGGACATTCAGTCCTCAGCAGGCGACAGTTGAGGGAGGGAGGGCTGTACTTTGCGAACGACTAGGGGGTGCGCCTACTACCTAAGGGGGTGTGCTAAAAAGCGCTAGCGAGAGTGCTGGGTGAGACCTGGAGGAGGCGCTTAGGGGAGCGCTAGCAAATGCCAGCGGAATGCCCCATTACAGTACTCTTTAGCACTCTATTTAGCCGTCTTTTTTATTGTTCTTAGCAAGTTCGACCACTACCTAAGGGTAGCCGGCATCAGGAACGGTGAAGGAGCTAGATTAGGTAAATATTAGTTACTGTTTTTTCCCCCAGAGACCCCTGCCCGGGTGCCCGGCACGCTAGGTCGATTTTAGTGGACGCCGCCTGCAGAGCGCCATCCTAAGGCCGCTTTTATATCCGGGCCTGCTGCATGAGCTATTGAGGCATGATACCGTTGGCCCGAAATCCTTCAAGAGGAAAAAAGAAATAAAATGAACTCGGCGAAGCTAGGGAGCTAAGGAATCTGCAATTTCCGCTTGCCCACTTTGCTTGCAGTTGTTCTTGATGGCTGTTGTCAACTCTGCTGCCCGAAGATTCGGCTTACACCTTTCTACTTCTTCTTCACAACGCTGCCCATCACGCATGAGACGAGCGAGCTTCTGGCACCTATTCTAACGGCTCAAAACTTGGAACAATTATTATTTTCCACCCTCCTCACGCTTGCGTCAAAACTTTTTTACAAAATGAAGTCAACGCTGCTTTTCTGCGCAGGGCTGGCGAACCTCCTGCCTCTGACCACGGCCGACGCGGAGCCTTTTCTGAGCTACGACGTCAATACCATCAAAGATTGCAGTTTTTGGTATGACAACTATGGAACCAGGACCTGTGAGTCCATCCGAAAAACCTGGAGCATCTCTCCAGAGACCTTTTCCCGCTGGAATCCCTCCATCTCTCTCGACTGCAAGGGCTGGAGCAAGCATTCCTACTGCGTGGGCGTCATCGCGGAATTGAGTGCTCAATGAGCATCACCACCACCACCTCTACCTCAACTTCCACCCCGACCCCGACCTCGACGCCGCCTCCTATTTGGACAGACCGCGGCTGCTACGCGGATGCGCCTTACCGTCCGTTACAGACTCAGCTGCCGGCTCCGGCTGGCAACGACATGACCCGCGCCAAGTGCGAGAGCAAGTGCTGGAGCGAGGGCTACCAATACGTCGGCTTCAAGGCCGGCACCGAGTGCTGGTGCGGGCACTACATTGACGGGTCACACACCCCGTTCCAATCAGACTGCCGCGCGCCTTGCGCGGGCAACTCCTCCGAGGCCTGTGGCAGCGACGAGGTCTTTAACGTCCTCGAAGGAAACGACCCGGGATTCACCTCGTTAGAGTTAGGATTACACGCGCTTTGACGTCCACCACCACGACGCGGCGCTCAACATCTACGGCCCCTCGAGATTCCAAGACTGCGATCGAGCAGAGGCTTATGACAGCGTGAAATGGAATACAACGGTATACCGATACAGGGCCAACAATGCCAGACTGTTGTACATACTCTCGAGTAAAGGAACGACTTCAACCTTTGTAATATACCTGTTTACACTGAGACTACATAATAATACATCATGAATATTACACTGCCTTAATACATATTGATCGTTGATTTTGGCGATTTCAACATTTCCTTAGCGTTGCACAGTCGCGAGGCGAAACGGAGACGCAGCCGGTGTAGCATAACAAAGTGAGATTTCGTTCATTTTTTTGGGCCGAGATCGAGAGCTCGACTTTTGTCATATTAGAGAAAAGTTGCTTTTTTACCCCGTCATGTGCAGCCGTCCGCATTGTCATTGAACTGCGGCATGTCGAAATAGTGACCCAATCCACTCATGCCTATCCTGCTTTTTGCTAATGAGACAAAGAAAATATGATTAAAAAACCAGAAATGATACAAACGCCTTTGCCGCCGGCCCAGGCGTCCAGTGGATATATGAGATGCAAGAAGCGAAGACGGGAGGCTTGGTCGTTTCACAATACTATACAAAAGATCTCGCGTACGTGCTGTAACGAGGCTCGAGAGGCTCTGGAAACAGTCGCGCAGCTTATTTTTTGGCGGCCGCTCGGTTGAATTCCTCCAAAACGGTTTCCTTTATAGAGTCCTTGCGATTTTCTGTGGCATTCTCCTCGGTGACACCTTCGGCCGCAATGCTGCTCGGACTGCTTGAACTGCTCGACTCGCTAGGATGCATAATCTGCTTGGCCATGGTTTTGGCCTGTGCCTCACCGACCTTGCCGTAGACGCTGAGACCTGTGGCAATCATACCAGAGATATCACCCACGTTGCCGGGAACGACGACCGCGGTGCTCTCCTTGGCCAACTTGGCGAAAGCGTCGACGTACTTCTCGGCCACCGTCAAGCTAATAGCACCCTTGGCACCCTCGGCGCCGTTCGTGATGCTGCGGGACACTGCATCGATCCCCTCGGCCGTGGCGCGCGCCTTGAGCAGGATCGCTTCGGCGTCACCGTCGGCCTCGTTGATGCGCTCGGCTCGCAGGGCTTCCGAGGCCAGAATAACACTCTGCTTGCGACCTTCGGCAATGTTGATGGCGCTCTGGCGCTGACCCTCAGAGTCGAGGATCTCGGCGCGCTTTGAGCGCTCAGCCGTGACTTGGCGGTGCATGGCTTGAACAACGGCATCGGGGGCATGGATGTCGCGAATCTCGTAGCGAAGGCAGGTCACACCCCAGGCCTCGGCGGCGTCGTTAATAGCAGCGGTGATGTTGGTGTTGAGGGCGGCGCGCTCCTTGAGGACGTGGTCAAGCGTAAGCTGGCCAATTTCGGATCGCATCGTGGTCTGGGCGAGCTGGGAGATGGCGTACTCGGCATCTTCAACACCGTAGCTGTGTAATTGCGTGGTTAGCATATCCTGATTTTGTGTCATTTGTTTGGGACCCTCACCTAGCCTTGTAGGCGTCAAATACTCGCGTGAACAAAACGCCGTCCAATTCGAGCGTCACGTTGTCGGCAGTAATGGCGCTCTGGCTGGGGATTTCGATGGCGACTTCTTTTAGGTTCTTGACATAGGCAATACGGTCGATAAAGGGCACGAGCACGGCTAGGCCAGGGTCGAGGATGCGGTTGAACTTGCCCATGCGCTCAACGATCCAAGCTGTCTGCTGAGGCACGAAACGCACCACCGTATTTGCTGGAAGACGAGGCTTTTGAAAGTACGATGGCAGAGCTCCGCCACTGCCACCACCGAAGTTCGAGGCCAGTAAGCTAGCAGCAGACGTCGATAGTCGCCGGGATGTCTGAAGCTGCTGAAGGGGACCCCGTAGGGATGCCCGCACTAACGCGGACTGCATCTCTGTGGTGTGAGAAATTCCGTCCTGTGTTGCAATTGGAATAAGCTGTTTACTGCCCTATCGTCCGGTTCGTCGATAGTCGTGGCAGGAAGATCGAAGGGCGAGTTCTGTGATGTTGGGGCGAGGCTGCAGTGAATGACGATGGGTCGTTTGCGAGCTTTCCGGTTGGTAGGCCGGCCGTGCCCGATATTTACCCGCTGCTATGTGCAGCTTGTGGCGCTCCTGTGGCTTTGGCTGTGTGTCAAGTCAACAGAGCTGGCCAAATGCCTCCACATATTCCGCGGCCGACAGCTTTGGTCTGCCCCGCGGCTGCACCGCCATAAGTCTTTCCGTTTGGATGGTGAAACCCCACGCCACTTCTCCCAAAGAGCATTGCTTCAACCCTTGCGGTCTGCGTTAGCATCATAAGCGCTAAAAGAGCCTCTTTCGGTTTTTACCATTCTCTTCATTGCTGGAAACCTGTCTCGCCCAAAAACACGAACGCGGCATAAACGCAGAGCTACTGCATCATTATGGCCAAGGTTCCTCGTAACTTTCGCCTGCTGGAAGAGCTCGAGAAGGGTGAAAAGGGTCTCGGCGCGGAGGCTTGCAGTTATGGTTTGGAGGATAGCGATGACCTTCTGATGAGCAACTGGAACGGCACTATCCTGGGACCTCCTCATGTATGTTTATGTTGGCGTAGGCTGAGCCTGTCGCTTGCAACAAACACCGTCACAGTTAAATGGTTGTCCAGTGCTAACCGCTTTCCAGTCTGTACACGAGAACCGAATCTACAGTCTCAAGATGCACTGCGGTGATACCTACCCCGATGTTCCTCCCAAAATACAGTTTGTTAGCCAGGTCAACCTGCCCTGTGTTGACCCCAAGAACGGCATTGTCGACCCCTCGATGCTTCCCTGCCTCGCTCAATGGAAGCGTGACAATACCATGGAGACTATCCTGATAGAGCTCAGACGGTGCGTGGATCCGAGCCTCTCCTGCCATATATCACTCTACGGAAGCGAACTAACTGCAACTAGATATATGGCTGCCCCAAACAACAAGAAGATTCCTCAGCCCCCAGAGGGTTCTACCTACTCATGATTCAGAGGGTGTGAAGAGCGGATGAACAATAACGGGATAGTGCGGTGAACACCGCGAGCGATAGCTGCTGCAGTACTGCGCATAGCTTCGCAACAACTTTCTGCTAATACTGACCAGAATGGGATAGCATCATCAGGCAAATAGAAGATAAAATAAAATCCAGTTTTGACCACAGCGTGAGGCTGTACATATAGGCGAAGGCTCGAAGTTTCAAGGACTCCCATTGGGTTACCAGGTGCATCGTTCAGCGATAATTCGCAATTCCCAAATGATAACACAACTATCAATCATCTCACAGGGGATTGCGAAAACACCATAGTCCACTTTATCGAGCGGATTTATCTTAGCTCTGGGGGTCAGAGTGCACGTTGACACTAACTCGTTCACGTCATGCAACGTCAGACAATAGCCTACCCCGCCAAATTCAAGCCTCTTAGTAGCCCAACTGATGTCGTCCCTTGATATTCCTCTGCCAACTCGCAAAACTTTCCACCTATATCGCGATGTCCACGATTGATACCTCTCTTCCTCCAGAACCCTCTGGGGCTGCAGCAGGGCTCGCTGCTAAGCACGCCGATGCCCACCCGCTGAAGCTTTACGGCGGCTGGTTCTGTCCTTTCGTACAGCGTTCATGGATCGTCCTTGAAGAAAAGAAAATACCTTATCAGTACATCGAAATCAATCCTTACAAGAAGGAAGCTTCATTTTTGGCCATGAACCCCCGCGGCCTGGTGCCTACGCTCGCCGTGCCAGTCGGTTCGCAGGGGAGCAAACAGAAGCCTCTATTCGAAAGCAACATTATCAGCGAGTATCTGGATGAGGAATACAATGATGAATCCAAATACGGGCCAAGCTTGCTACCAAAGGATCCCTACGACCGAGCGCGCGCACGCCTCTGGATCGACCACATTAGCAACAAAATCATCCCCGCTTTCTACAAATTGCTGCAGCACACCGATGAGAAGCCATTCACGCTAGATGAAGGCCGGAAAGAGCTCCATAAACATATTCACACTCTCACGGAGCAGATGGATCCAGAAGGCCCATTCTTTGCGGGCAAGGAGCTGGGCATGGTCGATATCTGCCTGGCGCCATGGGCTAAACGCCTCTGGCTGATTGATCACTACAAAAATGGCGGCGTAGGGATCCCTTCCAAGGGGCAAGACGAAGAATGGGGACGATGGAGAACATGGTTCAACGCAATTACAGAGCGCAAAAGTGTACAGGAGACATGGAGTGCTGATGAACGGTACATAATTGCATACAAGCGATACGCCGATGACACGACCAACTCAGAGGTCGGCCAAGCGACACGACAGGGCAAAAGACTCCCATAGAACACATTGATGATATATATGTACTGTTAGATATCAATAGTCTATTTGTTCAAAATGTTCAAAATTATGCAAGCTTGACACCTGGCGTAGATGCTGTGTAATGCTCTTTCTGCGGTGACCCACATGGCCTTCTCAAAGGGGAAGTCCAGCCAAAAAGACCGTTCGATTGCTGCACTGCAAATCGCAAAAGTATCAACCACGACTCCAGACAACAATGTCGGACCAAGCAGCGTCGCGGTTCACGCCGCAAAACAAGACGACCCAGGAGCGCCTTTCTACCCACACAGTCGGCCTCGTCGCGCTCTCCGACTTTCGCAAGCGCCGCGCTGAGGTCCTCGAGGCGCAGGAGCGCGAGGCGCGCGATGCCACCGCCACCGGACCCTCGACGCCCGTCGACCGCTCGCAGACGGGCACGCCCGACAACAACAACAACACACCCGGCAGCGGCGCCGCCAGCGACTCGGGTAGTGCTGCTGCTGCGGCATCAGCTGGCGCGCTTCGACCGCTGAAAAAGGCCAAGAAGAAGCAAAAGCCCGGCAAGAAGCTTCTCTCATTTGGCGACGACGATGACGAAGCGACGACGACGGACGGATCCGAGCGCAGTAATGGTCTCAACGCGGGCCAAAATGGAAATGGAGAGGTCAAGAGCAGCAAGTTCAAGGCCAATGCGTCAGTCGGGCTGGTGCCAAAGTCAGTCACCAAGTCGGCGCTGCGGAAAGAGGCTGCGGAGCGGGAGGCGCTGCGACGCGAGTTCCTGGCGATGCAGGAGGCGGTCAAGGCGACTGAAATTGCGATTCCATTCGTCTTTTACGACGGCACCAATACGCCGGGCGGCATTGTGCGCATGAAAAAGGGTGACTTTATCTGGGTGTTTCTGGACAAGAGCCGCAAGGTCGGCGCGGAGCGGGGCGTGGGCGAGCAGGTCAACGCGACGCGAGCCTGGGCGCGCGTCGGCGTGGACGACTTGATGATTGTCCGAGGCACAGTCATTATTCCTCATGTACGTGGCGTGATCTTTTTTTTTTTTTTTTTCATTCATTCATATCGAGTCGTATCTATACAAGCTCTGTGGCTAACTTTGCAATCTCTTTGATAGCATTATGACTTTTACTACTTTGTCATGAACAAGACCATCGGGCCCGGTGGCAAGCGCCTATTTGACTACAGCGTCGAGGCGCCGGAAAAGCCGGACGCGGCTTCGGGGTTGCCGGCAGGGGGTCTCAGCACCGCGGCCGACGTCAAGGCGGCCAAGAGCCTGCCGGACATTTCCTCACTCGAAGGTGCCGACGAAGACCCCCTCGAGACAAAGGTGGTTGATCGTCGGTGGTACGAGCGCAATAAGCACATCTTTCCCGCCAGCACTTGGCAACAGTTTGACCCCGAGATGGATTATGCGAGCCAGATTCGAAAAGACGGCGGCGGCAACACTTTCTTTTATTCAAAGTGAAGGGGGCCTTTCCTTTTGGAGAGCTCATCTTTTGTTGTTTGCGGGAATGGCGCTTCCGAATATTTCGCGTCGGCATCTTTGTCAATGCGTCTTGTAATCTCCCCCTTCTGACGGTGCTTATTTTTTTTCTTCGCGCCCTCGCCCTCACCCACAAATCTGCCAGAGCACAAACGACGTGCCGCCAATGACGATCCAGCCAGGCCAGAGGACCAGCAGGAAGAGGCCGTTGCCGGCGCCGAGAACAAAGAGGGCAAACTCGTAAAAGAGCTTGTCGCGCAGCATGCGTGTTGTCTTCATGTCCCAGACGGTCGTGGCGGCGCGGACCGACGCGGCGGCGCCGTAAAAGGCCCCGAGCTTGGTGGCGACGACAAGGTGCAAGGCGAGGAAGCGAATGGCGGAGTAGGTCTGAGCGAGGGAGATGCTGCTCAGGAGATAGGCGCGCCAGCAGAGAATGGCGGAGAGGGAGCCGATGATGTCTTGGAGGTGCACGGCGTAGGCGAGCGTTGGGCCAACCCGACTTATCATCGTGGCATGGTGGTGCTGGGAGAGAGGCTCCACCCGGGATGCCGTCAGGATGTCGACCTTGTCCATCCTGTAATGTATAATACACAAGGAATAGGGTACTGGGATAGAATCTAGATGAACCCCGTCTTCAAAGACAGAGGACAATAATATTCAAGCTACGGTGGATGCGGGACTATTTAATACCAGTACCTCTACTGTTTGTACGTACGAATGCCCCGCGCGCCCGTTTGTCAAACCCACCGGGACAGACGACCGAAACCAGCTGTCAAGACCATTGCTCTGCTTATCCCCGAGGCTTCCAAAACCGTACACTGGGCGCACATTGCTATGCAAGAGCCCGTCGTTGGCTGAGAGGCGTCCCATCTATCCATCCCGCGTCTTACAGCCATGGTGGTGCGTGAGATGGCACCCACGTGGGGGAGCAGAACCGCCTAATTTGACTTGGGCCCCTCCAACTCGCATGCCAAAGGGAAGAACACGGGATTTCATCTAGATCGATCATTGACTGAAATCTCATAGGTGGAAGCTTATTTTCTCCACGTCTGATATCCCGCGATGTCTACAGTGGGTCAGATGTATTTCGGCGACTCATACCGCTCTCATTGCTTCACCGTCTCGCTCACGACCCTCTCTGCAAGCACGCCATCCCGTATTGCTTGACTCGAAAAAGGGGTGCTTGCTTTTGGAGGAGAGCGATTGATAATTTGTAAATGTCAATGAGGAAGGGTTCTCATGGAATATACCGTGCCATGTTGCACTGCAGTCTTGCTGTGGGAACTCGGCGCGCCGTGCAGCAAGCCTCGGCGCAGCAAAAAAAAGGTCGTAGACTCACTCGGATGCCCGCTTTGGGAAGCTCCAGACGAAAGGCGGCAGAGAGACTTGGATATGCGACTGATGCTTGTGCATGCATGGCCACAAGAGCACATTATAATTTGTTCCAGTAGTTAAGTTAGCTGGCTGCATTGTCTTTTGGCGGCAAAACTCACCAACTTCATGCGGTTGACAATCATGTCTCGAGTGCAAATGCCTCACAAACAATCCCACCTTCTACGGGAGGGCATTATAGCCGCAGATATGAATATCCTCATGATAGCCTGCCACAAGAACATGCATGGTAAAAAAAACAGAGCCAGTGCTCACGCGATCCCTTGCTCAAACGACGACGCCAAGAGACATGCCTCTGCAAGCTGCCGTGCATCAACAGCCCGTCTGCACCCGGCCCATTTCAACCATGGGCGCGCCCAAAGCTAGCTGACAATATGCCTCATCATCAACTACTCGAACTGGAGCCGAATTTGAGACGGCACACAACGCACAAACGGCGCAATGCAGCATCCCACTCGCAGCAGACCACGCTCGGCTATCTACGGTTCAAGGGCATCGAGCGACACGGGATGGGCGCTTTCCAGTCACGAGAAACAACAATCTCCAAAACTTAAAGCAATCAGAACGCCGGACTGGTGGTGCTCTCGACCTGCATGCATGCATGGCGTCGGCGTGGCGGCCCCTCACCTCGGGGCCGTCCCGGGATCCTCCGGTCGAGTCCGGGGGATGAAAAGCCTGCAAGAAAAATAGGTCAATCAGGTGAGTTTGACAAAGACTCTAGAGCAAACTACCGTCAAAAAGTATGTTGATCCCGTTGTCTTGCAATCCGCTGTCTGGTAGTTAGTTCTCTTGCGTTCAAATCGCGGGGTGGTGGAGTAAATACTTATAGTCCGGCTGCGCGAAGCAATGATGGTGCAGTGTAGTTCGATGAGCTTCGTACGAGTTTCCAGTCTCATGACATGCTCATGTAACAGTACTCTCATGTGTAATTCTGCTCACGGCTTGCATCTGATCGCGGCGATGGGCTGATCAAGCACAGCGAGGTGGGGGGTTGCGACAACCATTCACTGGGCACACCAAAGTCAAAGCTACTCTTACCGTCACCATATCGCCATCAAACCATTCTCCCAATCAGAAGAAAGCCACCATCTGCATCCCCGCATCGTCAAGTCGTCCGCGCCGTCCCACCCACCCCCAAACGAATGGCCTCCTCCTCCGCCACCGAGCTCGACCAGGACGCCGAGCTCGTCTACAACTACCACCGCATGCACATGGCCCTCTCCCCCGCCGACGTCATCTTTTGCCTCGGCAGCCTCGACATTCGCGTCGCCGCGCGCGCCGCCCAGCTCTTCCTCGACGGCCTGGCCCCGTACCTCGTCTTCTCCGGCCATTCCGGCAAGCTCACGCGCGACGTCTTTGACCGGCCCGAGGCGGAAATCTTTGCCGACGTGGCGCGCGGCATGGGCGTGCCGCCGGAGCGCATCCTCGTCGAGCCCGCGGCGACCAACACGGGCGAAAACGTGCGCTTCACGCACGCGTTGCTGGTAGAAAAGGGTCTGACGCCGCCGCGGTCGCTGATTCTGGTGCAGAAGCCCTACATGGAGCGGCGAACGTGGGCGACGTTTAAGAAGCAGTGGCCGGACGAGGAGGCGGTGATTGCGGTGACGTCTCCGCAGCTGAGCTTTGCAGAGTATTCGGACGAGGATAATCCGAGGGATCTGGTGGTGAATGTCATGGTGGGAGACCTGATGCGGATAGAAAAGTATCCAAAGCTGGGATTCCAGATTGAGCAGGAGATTCCGCCACCAGTGATGGAGGCCGCGCAGCGATTGATTGCAGCAGGCTACAATAAGCATCTCCCATAAAGGCTCCGGTCTGGCGTATATAACAGAAAACTTCTAGATATGCGTCCATCTTATCCAAGATTGAATATTCTCATTCCGCCTTTTCGGGTTTCTTGGTTTCATCTAGGCTGCTATGCACGCTCTTGGCCGTTGTCTTAAGATAGCCCGAGAAGCTAATGAAGACAGACTCATCATGACCCTCAATCCAGCGGCAGCGAACCAATACCCCATTCAGGTTCACGTTGATGTAGATACCGAAACCGAGCTCTTCCTTGACGGGTCTCTCCTCTCCTTCTAGGCTCGTGTCCATTCCGCGTTGCTTTTGCCGTCGCCACGCCCTCGTCCATACCTTGTCCGCGACCCTCAGCGTGCCTTCTAACTTTTGCCTATCCCATTCCCAGTGTATTGCCTCCAAAGCCGCAATGGCGTCTCGCAGCCGGCTTGCAAACTCTGATACACGATGAAACTCGGGAAACTCAACTACCGTCATTTCCGTGTGCGCAGGGAGGTAGCCCTTCAATGAGCCCGCCACTGCCCCCCGCGCAATCGCCTGCGGCGGGCGCATCGCTCGAAAGCTCCACGCCACCGCCCATCGCTTCGTCTTCCTGCCCTGCACAAACTCGGTCACGGCGTAGTTGCCGACGCCGTTGTCACGCAGCCGCTGCACCAGCGCGGCGACGCTCGACAGGAAGCCGAGCATGGCCGTGTACCACTGGATCCTCCCGCGCAGCGCCAGGGACTCGTCGAGAATGCGCCCAACAAAAGCGACCTCGCCGCCGTCTGTCACCATCTCGACGGGGGCGCCCGTGCAGGCTGTGAGCGGCGGGAGGGCCTTTTCGGCGGCGCGCTCGTCCATTTCCGCGGCGGATCTGTAAAACGGCGGGTTCGTCATGACAAAAGCGACTTCCTCTGTGGCAGTGATTGAGTCTATGGGGATGATGGGACCATCTGGGTTCGACTTGACGAGTTTGATACGGTTTTGTAAGTGGTTTTGCTCAATGTTCTTTGAGGCCCAGCGCAGACTCTCGTCGTCGATATCTGTACTCATCAGGAATGGAAAACACTAGGTCAATAGGACTAGCATACCTGCTGCAATAAAGCACCACGGCCTCTGAGTGCAGCCAAGCATTGGATATATGCAGCTAGCTCCTGTGCCGATATCTATGCCCACGAGCTTTCCGCCAGGGGCGTTGTATGTAGTGAAGTCGAGTAAATCTTTGAGCCATAAAATATATTTATGTCTATTAGGTATCTGATATAAAGTCTTAATATTGTGTTAATGGCAGTAGGTCAATCACGGGCGTACCGGCGGGCAAAGGCGGTCATCTGGCAGGTCTAGTGACAGGCCAAAGTCGTGCTTAAGCAGCGTCTTGGAAAGTTGCATGACAGCCTTGGGGTCTCTGAAATCCAGGTCGCGTCCCTGGACTCTGCATGAGATCATTAGATCCTTCACATAGAAACTGGCATCGTGTGCGTTCTTACACTGCGGAGAAGTCGGCGTCTAGCGCAGCAAGCTGCTTGAAATCCGGCGGGCTATTGTAGAGCTTGCGAAAGCGCCGGTCTTTTTGTTCCTGCGTCTCCTCCGAAACAGCCTCCGTAGGGGCCAAAGACGGATTCACCGCATCCCCTTCGGATGCCATCTCGAGATGGGACTCGCCGTGTGCCTGTGTGGTATGAAACTCGGGCTCGCTTGCAGCATCCAGAATTGCGAGTCATGGGAAGTCTAGATTTTGTTTGCGTGAAGCCCCACCAGTCGCAGCTGGCAGCGCAGCATGAGCCGACAAACGCTACACATACACCATCCGGAATCAAAGGGCCAAAAAGAAGCAAATCTAGATTCTAATAATTATAGAAGAATTCGCCATCGCCAGCCTCCGAGGACCCGCAGATCTCGCTCCTCGAGCGTGTCATCGCCCGCCATGATTCGATCCGACAGCTGCTTGATGCGCTTCTGGGTCGTCCGCGCCACGCGCAGTGACACTTCATTCTGGAAAATATACAACACTGCAAATACAAAGAAGCCTATCGATGCGAGTCGGCCCACTCCAAACACACTGTCTTTGATCCGAGCCAAGATATTCCTAGATCTTTGAAAGGCATACTCGGTGTCGTTGGAAGCCACCTTGGAGTCCTCGTCGTTGCTGCGCCTAAAGATGCGCCTCACCAGTGGTATAAACGACGCACTACCAGCTCGTCAGACACCCGTCCTTTTCACAGTCGAGGACAAGTATACTTACAAGATGCCACCCATGAGCCATTTTCGCCAGCGGTGGTTTTGAGCCTCGCGCGCCAGATTGCGAACCTCCATCTGCAGGCCCAGCAGGTCGCTCAGCACTAGGTCCGTCTGAGACTGCAGGCGACCATCCGACGCGTTGCCGCCGTACCGTCTGTAATCCTGCTTCAGGGCCAGATATCCCCGCAAGTTATACTGGCAGCTCTGCCGTAATGTGTCGATATCCAGCGCCTCGTGCTCCTGCATGTACGGCCCCGGCGTCATCATCATCGGCTCTGTCGGCGGCGGCGCATACATTTGCTGCTGCGGCGGCGGCGGCGGAGGCATCGGCTGATATGCCGGATAGCTATACGGTGCCGCGCTGCCAGAACGCTCTGTCTTGTAACCTTCGTGTTCCGTGTGCGGTGCCATTCCCTCCGTGCGAGGGCCGTCGAAGTTGCCCGTGGGTATCAGCGGTGACCGTGAGCGTTGAGCGCCGTGATCAGATGGCGCGGGGGACCACATGGGCATAGGGTCCATCTCGGTCAGCTTGCCGGAGTGCTCCATGATACTCAAGATTATTCAGTTTGGTGAAGAATTTTACCGCTGAGGCGAAAAAGGTCAATGATGTACTTGCCAACATGCAGCTCGCGCAGACCATTGGGCCTGGTTTTCCGGGGGGGCTGGGACTACATGCATGACGTTAAGCTTCCACCGCCTGATTCCCTGCCAGAGTTTTCTCAAACCAAGCCACCGCGTGATGGGAATATTGATTAAAGTCAAGATTCTCTTTTAATTTTCTTTACAGTACCGCACCATAACAGCCCACGTTACTTGGATTTGTCGCCGCGCTGTCACTAAGCTACGATGCAAATCTAGGCAATTTTGATGCCAAATTGCTGCCTCGGCGCATGGATGCTTTCTGTCGATTGGCCTGCCATAGCCACCGCCTCCATGACGACCTTCTGCACGCCCAAGCTTACCAGCGTGCCCGCGTCCCTGCACGACGACCCAAAATCCGTCGGCCCAACCGTCACGGCGTTGTTCTTGCTAGCTCCAGCACCGCCGCCTCGCAGTTCTGCGCCGCACCCTCGGGCTCGTGCCACGCCGCCCGTCTGATCCGGCGGCTGCTTGCTCGCCCGACAGCGTGGGCAGCTCGCTCTTTTTCTTGCTTTTAGCCTTGTCCAGCGCGGCGCAGAACCGGTTGATCCACGCGTTTCTGCGGGCACGCCTTGGCGTTGAACTGCGCCCCGGACAGCGCCCCGGGAGTCTGGGGATGAAGTTGAGCGGCCAGACCGCCTTAAAGTCGGCGAGGCTGGGCCGCGGCGTGCCGAGCATTCAGGCACGGCTGTCGCTGAGCAAGTCTTCTAGGATGGTAAAGATGTGGTCATCTTGCGGAGCGATACAGGTTGCTGCTTTCTGTGCGTCCGCGTATCACATTCGTAGTCGGGACATTGAGACATTGAGCCTTTCAAGCTTGGGCAGCTGCACTGATAAGTCGGGCGCCCAAAGAGGCGTCGCGGTGCATGGCGACGACGGGAATGCGGTGACGTTCGTCTCCAAATAACTTCAAATTCGGTTCGGTCGTCTAAGCAGATTCTTTTTAAAGCCAATTAACCCGCACATAGTGGAAAAGAGGTGAGTGTTGCGGCTTCATATTCTCTGTAGGGTAGTCCGCGCAGGGTCGAGTACAAGCGATGCGCCGACTAATAAGTGATCGGGGGGGGCCATTGTGACAGAGACAAGGGCAGTTTTTGCCTTGAAAATCCTTACTATTCCAAGATGACGCTTCTTCGACTAATCAACGCTCCCACTCGTGGCGCTGGGTTTTCTTGGAGGGGGTTAAGGATGCGCTTCTTTTCCTACTATTGAGGGCAATATCATTTCTCACGCCTCGCGATGCGACACATGTGATGTCTGGATCTTCTTTACATGCCTCGGCGCGGTTTAATCAGCAGCTGCTCAACGGGTTTGTGGGGGAAATTTGGGATCAATATTCTACCAGAAGGATGATCGATATCTTTGGACAAACACGCTCATTGGTCCATCTTTAAACCAAGTCCTGGCCCGCATGCTCGCCCGATCGCTGCCTGGAGGCCAAGTGCCTAAACATGACCCCTGTTAGGTGCATGTGGGCGCTGCCGAGCAAGACGAACTATAAGAGGCAGAAGCAGCGTCAGGCTGGATCTGGCTGATTACATCTTAAACGTTGCTCAATTATCTCGAGATAATTCCGCCTTTTGGGATCATTGTATCTGCGTTTGAACCGCATGGGAACAGATAGCAGCGCGTCCTCGTTACCACGCTCAGTCCATGGAGTCCATCAATAGAGTCGACTACAAAGTCGCCGATATCCCAACGCGTGCCGTGGTTCTGTTTCCCGAAAGAGCGCAGGTATTTCGAGACATCAAAGACATTGCACTCAAAGTAAGCTTTCATACATAGCCCATGGACGGAGAAACCCTGCTAAGCTTCCGCCAGCCCGGCATCAATGAGGTCACAATAAGCGGCCTCAGCCCTACTCTGGACGAGGAGTCGATCAAGGTCGAGAGCGCAGGCTCCGCCGTCATTACCGACATTTCCGTTGAGGCCCTGCCTAACCCAGACAATTTCAAAGACGTTGAACCCGACGAAGACTCCTCTTCCTCCAGTGACGAAAGCGACGACAACGAGGACCATGACTCCGAGGATCTCTGCGCCGTCCAACTTCGCGTCAGGGAGCTCCGGGACGAGATGTGGCTCATCGAAGATGCCATAGACAGCGTGAATAACCGTCAGCGGATCATGCTCGTCCGTAGCAACGCGGCGGACACGATGGAGCAGGACAAAGGCGTGCGGCTCGCCGAGCTTCTGGCCGCGTACAAGAATGAGAGGGCCGCGCTGAGCCGGGAGAGGCTGGAGGCGGCCAAGCTGCAGCGGGAGGTGCAAAAAAAGCTGGATGCGGCACTGGCACATGCCCGAGCTCTGCGAGGGACGGCGCTGCGGGAGTCGAGAGAAAGACGCAAGGCGAAGCGCAGGCAGCGCGAGAAGGAGCAGAGACGCCGTGCGGACCTCCGCGAGGAATGGAAGCGTGTCCGACGAGAGCGCGCCAAGTTCTGGCCCCGGTATTGCTACTCGATCCGAGTCATCCTTGACGTCAACACAATGACGCCGATATCGTCGCGGCGCGCCTCTATTGCCAGCGAAACTGCCGTCCGAGCCGTCACCGCCACCGTCGCCGACGACGAGAAGCCCACGGCGGCGGCACAGCTTGACAACCACATCTCCTGCAGCCTCTGCGTCTCCTACGTGACGTCGGCTGCGGGCTGGACACCCTCGTACGACCTGCAACTATCCACGACGGGCACCGCCGCCGCCACGCTCTGTTTCGACGCCAAGATCTCCAATCAGACGTCGGAGACGTGGCGCGGCTGCGCCGTGTCGCTGTCGACGGCCGACGCCGCGCTTGCGGGCGTCGACGCCGACCTGCCGGAGCTGATGCCGTGGCGCATCCGCCTCGTCGGCAAGAGCCGCCGGAGCGAAGGCGACGGCGACGAGCACATTGCGCGGAGCCGCCACGAAGCGCACGAGCACAGGGCGTTTGCGCTTCAGCAGAAACAACGCGGAGGCGAGGCGAAGCCGCGGGTGGAAATGTTTGGGGTGGATGGATGTGATGAGATAGGGCCGGGGTGCGGCGTGTCGCAGCCAGATGCGGAAGCAGCGTCGTCAACGTCGTCTTCCTCGGACCATGATGACGATGATGTCTCGACACCGCGACGTAAAGGCAAGAAGAAGGCGTCGACACGCCTTGAGACGACTACACCCGTGGCTGCTCCCGTGCCCCCTGCCGCCGTCGCGGGCTTTGGCGCAGATCTCGCACCCGAAGCCATCGACTTTGACGACTCCCTTGTCGAAGAGTCGGGCATGACCACCGTCTACGACCTTCCCGGGCTGCAGACTCTCGCCCCTCGCACACCCACCTCCAAGCAGCGCGTCGCGCGCATTGCCTTTGCCCACGTTACCCTGAGCCACCATGTCGTCGCCAAGCTGCGCCCGGTCGCCTACCTTCAGGCTCGGCTCAAAAATAGCAGCCGCCTCACCCTACTCCGCGCCCCGGCGGGTCTCACCCTCGACGGCGCCTTCCTCGGGCGTGCGCAGCTACCGCGGTGCTCCGCCGGCGACGTCCTCACGCTCAACCTCGGCGTCGATCCCGCCATCAAAGTTGCGTACCCAAAACCCGAAGTCCGACGCGCGACCACGGGACTCTTTTCGAAAGAGAGCAGCTCGGTGTTTGCGCGGGCGGTTGTGCTGCATAATACGAGGACGACGGCGGCACCGGGACCGGGATCGGGAGGAAGCAACAGGACGACGGCGCGGGTGCAGGTGAGGGACCAGGTGCCGGTCAGCGAGGACGAGAGGCTCAGGGTGGACGTGGTGACGCCGCGCGGGCTGGTGGAGGAGGGGCCGGCCGTGGTGGCGGGCGCGCCGGGGAGGGAGGAGGACGGCAGGGACAGGGACTGGGGCAAGGCGACGGCGCAGCTGAGAAAGGGGGGCGAGGTGTGCTGGGACGTGAGATTGAACGCGGGGAAGATGGTGAAGCTGTGGCTCGAGTATGCAGTGTCGGCGCCGACGGGAGACGTCGCTGTCGAGTGTTGAGAATGTTCAGTCGGCGGGGGACGTATCAGAAGAATGTCCATTACATGAAATCATCTCGACGCTTCTGGTGTCGAATCACATATTGTCCTTGCCTTACTTATTTCATTCAGACTCTTATGCTTGGCACGCAATTTTCTGGGACGCGCCTCACATTCTCTGGAGTTGGGTTCTTGCTGATATACCCAGTTCACGTCTTTGATAGCGCATCCACTTAGACGGCCGGAAGCTTAAGCTCGCCAACTCCACAAGCCTACATATTAGCACGTTCATCCCGCAGTAGCTAATCTGTGGTTGGTGGACCCTAGTTAATGTGCCAGTTGCGAAAACCTGGGGTTTTAGATTTCTTCTTGTATGATGTGGAAGTTTGAGGACACTCAATTTCATTCGTAGGTTGCTGAATGCGATTAAACTGCGGTGCAGAATATGTTCGCCCTCATGGGAAAAGGAGAAAAGACTCAATCTACCGTCAATATTTCTAGTCATCTAATCTCTGAGGGACGGTACATGATGCTGTATGATCTGGTGCATGGGTTACAAAGTATTGATATTGAGAAATCGGCCGTAGTGTCCCCGGAAACACATCTGCAGTCTCGTTTTGGCACTTGACGGCATAACGAAGCTTGAAAGAGCAAAGAGTCAAATCATGAGATTGAGAAATCAAGCGCTATTCTAAAAGTCTCTGTCAAATTAAAGCAGATTGGTAGTAACTATGGACTGCATCGCGGGGCCCCAGGCGTTGGTAGTCACATCACGTCTGCAAACTGCGACTGTCGTCACCATGGCGATGCAGGGGTCGGGACTGGCTCTGAAATACTGCTCGGTGTGCATCGCGCAAGTCTGTTGATGCTGACACCAAAGCACCAGCAATTCCAAGGTTTAGTCAACTTGGTATGGTTCCGATTGACGAAGGGTGTGGCGTGAACGGGCGCACGGCACGAACTTGTTTTGCCCTTGATGCATACACATTGTATCAGTAATACTAATTAGAACTGGGTGCGTCATGCGCTTTGATAGTTGCTGATTGCCGATTTCGCAGCTTTTCCTATCGGACAATTATGTATACAAGTATTTCAACACACCTTGCAATGCTTAGCATCCGTATGTTCCGGTGCCACTGTCACCTTTGCCGACTCGGTAGGCTGTTGGCACTGCGCAAAGGGCCGTTTTCTTCACCAATCAACGCATGGAAAATGAGTTAGTAGTGACCTACCGTCATTGTTGTCAGAGTTTATTAGTCTGATCGCTTTGAGAAAAGATGTAACAGCAATAGCCAGCATGTCTGCCTTTCCAGACAATACACAGCAAGATGGTCGAGACAATTACACAATTGATCATCCAATTAAGCATATCAAACATGATCTCAGGCATGGATGATTCCTTGTCACACAAATATGGGATTTCGCGCCCACGGACCGCAATAGATGTTGTCTGCGGAAGCCGTGTGCTCAGACTTCCCAGACTCTCGCTTACTAGTCAACCGCGCTGTCCCAACCGGGCGGCAGGAGTCGGAAGCTCCGCCTGCTCCTTTTCTTCAAGGAGAGATGATCGTTGCCAGCAAAACGGCCTCGGAGATCAGGCATGGGGGCCGCGCTTTGTAGAAGAATCGGTAACAGATCCACCAGTTCGTCAATAATGCTCTGCCGGCCGCAGACTTTGCTGCGTGTATTGGTAGTGAGTGAAGCAACTACAATGGCAAGGCTGTATGGCCGCTCGCTGGGAAGCTCAGCCAGCAGGGTTTACTTGGGTAGATGTAGCCGTCACTGCTTTCATGCACTGGAACATCTTGCGATCAAGAAAGGTCTCGCCGCGTGCTACAGGGCAGCGGCGAGCTACGATGCGGCAAACTCTGTGGTCTCTTGTTTACTAACAAGCTTCGACGTATCATGTGCTGAATGGTCAGCTAAATCGAATAGGCCCAGTGGGAGGAAGCTCCGGACGTACCGGCTTAGCACCGAGTGGAGGCCGGGTTTCAAGTGCGTGCGACGAGCGCCGACGCGTCCGGGGTGCACAGTTCGCCGAATGACGTTATCAGAGCGAGACCTAATCCGTACATCCCGAGACTGCGACTGACGAGAGGCGGGCATGCGGCGAGGGCAGACGAGAGGGCGCAAGGTTGGCCGCGGGGAGGTGTTGGGCCTGTATACCCGTGCCGGCGCGTACATACCCAGTGTACGGCCAAGGCTGCTGGGACGGGTGGCGTTGCCAGCGGACGTGACAAAAAGCGTGGGCGCAAGTGCCAGCACGAAAAAGCTTACGCGACAATGCTCTTCGCTTAGCACAAGGCATAATTAGTTTGACAAGGGTCGGCAAGTTTTGGCCTTTTCTTGGGCCGGTACGGATTAAAAGGGACGACCTTGCAGGTCTATTTCACCGTTGGTGTGACTGAAGGAGCGGAGCGGGGTGGGTCGAGACCGGGCCACCCGTCAAAAATTATTGTTCAATTTTGCGCCTTGTTGCTCGTGTCGCCGGGCCAGGCAAATTAGCCTTGTGCGTAAAATTAGGCTTTGTACAAGCCGAGTCGGCGAGGACCAACCTGGAGGGGGTGACTGTGATGCACAAGCCGCGAAAGGGCTGTGGCCGGCCCCACATGACGAGGTGTGAAAGGGCCCGGCCGCGAAAATGAGGACTGGTCTTGTTTTGGGAAGTGAAAGAAACCTGGATTCGGCCTTGGTCAGGGCTTGTCACTCGTGAGATGGGTCGGGTGGCGCGCCCGTTGGGGGGCGCGTGTGTGCGGTGAGTATCGGCGCAGGGCGGCCTCGCACTAAGACATCCGTTAAAGACGAGACGGCCTCATTGCAAGGTGTGGTCGGCGCATCATGTCGCGAACATGGGCTGAGTTAAGCGCTTGCGGCATGACGTCGCATGTCTACTAGTATGTAGCTAGCAGTGTGGATTGGAGAGCGGGCTGACTGAACCAACAGAGGCCAGAGGTTTCTTTGGGCTATCAATTAGGACGAGGATGCAATTGATTCGTGCTGAAACGCGGGCCGAGTCTGGGAGACGCTGTGAAGTGTGCGTGAGCATGCAACTCGGGTGCAGTGCGCGTTAAACAGCCACTGTGCTGGCAAACGGCGCCCAAGAAAAAAGGGTGATCAGCGTAGAGAAAGCAAGGAAATAGGGTGGTATCCAGTCAGCTTGTTGGCCCAGGTGCGTATAACTACCGACACACACACACACACACACAGAGAGAGAGAGAGAGAGAGAGAGAGAGAGAGAGAGAGTCGGTTGGGCTGACGAGCCAGTCGTAGGC